GAAGTGGGCTGCGCCCCCTTTCTGTGGCCAGCTCGACGCCCCTGTTGAGGAGTTACCTCCTTTGGGGTTTCCTGGGGCGGAGCAGGTGTTGAGGCCGCAGAGGGGTGCCCTCGGCGCCGGGCAGACGAAGACCTGGCTCCCAGCGGCTTGGTGTTCGAAGCATCACGCACAAGTGCACCACGGTCCACAAGGGGAACGTCCACATACCCCCTGGCCGCCCCGCCATCGAGGGTAGTATGGAGGGAAGAGCTCAAACATGACCGGTGGTGTACGGGGCTTTCCACGTTTTGGTGAGCTCTTCATGAACCTCCGGGAAGAAAGGCATTGGGGCGGAGCATGGCTGGGAGTCATGTCAGGAGTCCAGATACCAATCATCGAGTCTCGAGCGCTCGGGAGAAGGTGGAGAGTTCACCTCCAGCCCGATGCTCTTGGCCGCCAACATTTGAGCATTGCCGTCAACTCAGCCTCAGACTCCGACTGAGCACTGGGGGGCTGTTCAGCAGAATCTACGGCTTCCGAAGACGATAGCCCCTCCTCTGATGCAGCGATCTTATCTTCCGGAGCCCCGAAAGAGACGCTGGGTCCGCCGCGGGACGAACCGGCGCCATCTACCGGAAGCTCAACGGGCTACACTGAGAGGGGCCGGACTTCCGTGGGGGCTGGCCCGATGGAGCATTCCTGACCGTGATCCTCAGGTCACCCATGTCCCTAATCAAAGCAACCACAGAGTCTTTACGACCCGACGAACTGGGCTGGGTAGAGCCTGAGGGAAGCCTCATTATAAATGAGAGCCGCGACCTTAGCGCAGCTATGGACATGTGCTCACAATGTGGGCACGAGCCATCCACGAACGCCGTCCCAGCATGCTTACGGCCCAGACAGGTGAGACAGCGATCGTGACCATCGTCAGAGGTAAGGAAACTACTGCACCCAGAAGCACACGGTCGGAAAGACATCTCGAAAGACACTCTCGACGACCGTGCTTGCTGTAGGAAATTGCTCTTTTAGGCTGGTTTGCCCAGTGAAGGACCGCAGCACTTATCGAACCAGGGTGATCTCTCCGCTGAATGCAAGAGAAACTGAAGATTCTCCGCAGCTGAGAACTCCTGCAGCTTATCAGATGGTGAAGACTCCTTTTCTTCTTTTAAGAAGGCAGACCTCACGAAGCGATCGGCTCCGAAGCAAAAATCTGAATGAGTAGATGCACGCCGCCATCTTATATACCCGTATGTATGGGGGAGTGGCTTGGCATGCAAATTCCACTCACCAATTCTCATTGGCCTTTTCTTCTAAAGCTCAGAGGTGATTGGGGCTCCCAAGTGAGACCCCTAACGTCAGCCGACGTAACGTCGAACGTGACTGACTGAAAGGGAACAATAGTTACCGATGTCTTTCAAAGTGCATTTACCCCATCTACTGGTGCACTGCTGTACACATTCATGCAGATTACCTTCTGCCTGACAGCTCTGACCACATTCCAGACACATTCATTATTAGTTTCTTTGGAAAACAATTTTTTTTTTAAATGTATTTGAACTGACCAACATGTGTGTCATGAGATGTTTTCACGTGTGGAAGTGTAGCTGAATAACCTTTATTTGTCCATTGAGGTATCTTTTAACATGAAACATTTTATATGAAAAACAATGCTTTTAATAAAAATGCTTTTATTAGAGCTGGAAGATGCTTTACTGATCAATACAACTGAATTATTTCTTCTTTAATTATGTCTGACGAAAATGAGAAATGAAAAGCAAAATGAAACAGAAGTAGTTAATGAGCCAAGTCACCCAAATGAGGCGTTGCAGGACTAGACCCCAACAGTAATGCCTTCTAATCCAGAGGAAATGTGCTCCAAACCACACAGCGTTTTCACAATGACGTCTGACAAATTGCTTGCCAGAGATGAATAACATGGTCGATTTCTACATCACTGTGAGGGACAATGCTGAACAGTATCTTACTTCTGCATGAACAAAAGCATTAAGGTTTACACATTCAAAAGCTTTGAAGTAACAGCATGTTAAACTAAAACAGATTAACCAAGTCTCCGCAAAATAATGAGGAATATGAAATAGAGCTATTTAGGAAGCAGACACCTCTTATCAAAAAGGTTACTTTAAGGAAGTGGGTTTGAGATTGTTTTAATTTATATCTGTAATTAAAAAAAAGTTTATGTCTAATGTTCACAAAAAACGATCATGTGAGGTATGTCTAATGGGCAGGGGTGTTAAACACAACCTTGGATAATTGTCCACTGTTCAGAAACCTCAGAAAATTAAGATCATATGATGTAAAGGAAGATTTCCTATCATAAAAACAGTAGATCACAGACAGTTTCCTCTTCACTGTTTTCATTATGATCGTTGACGCTCTGGCAACAGTCTGTCACAGAATCAACCTGTGCCCTTTTCCTTCTCCGTCTGTAAATAGGTTTCTTGTCAGCTGCTTCCTTTAAAATGCATTTCTGTTCTTGAGGTTGTAGGGCAGTTTGTAAGCACTCATAGAATCTATTGAAAATAAAAGTTAATACATTTAATTTTGCCATAACTATCATATTGAAATACTTAAAATACAGTGTGAATTAAATTATTTTAATATTGAAAATAAAATGAGGAATTGTAGGTGGGATGTAAAAGTAAATGTGGATGTGGTAATAAAATATATGTTGGGACTTAAAATAAAACTTAAAAAGATATGTACTAAGTTAAAAATCTAATATTAAATTTAAAAAAAATTAAGATTCGTTACATTACATAAGATTCATTACATACAATTACATTTGTGACATTTTTTTCATGTGAACTGATTTGTACACATCAGGGTTATTATAGCTAATTAAAACTAAAAGCATTAAAAATACTATGTGAAATAGAATACACTTTAACTAAAGTAAAACTTAAAAACCTTTTTTGACTAGCTGCCAAGCCAACATTTAGTTTAATTTGGTGTATCAAAAGTAACTAAAACGGAAATAAAAATTAACACAAATTAATACATTATAGAGAAAAAAACAATATTTAATTTATTTTAATTAATTTATTTTAATTTAAAATACAAATGACAAAAACATACAACAAATTTACTAACATTTTAAATATAATTAATATTGTAAAATTTAAAAACTCCAAACGAAAAATATAAAAAGTAATTCAAAATATGAATAAAACTATAATAGTATCTCAATGATGCTAAAATAATGCTGGTACAGATAAAATGTGTTTGCTTCCACTGCAGCCTACTGATGCCCTTTGAGACATTCTTTTAAAATTTTCCATTCAACTTCTCTAATCAATTAAATTGCATCATTTTTATTTAAAAAAAAAAGACTTTTAATTCCCACTGTATATTAACACAGGAGACTCTGCTTACAATATACCTCTCTATTCTTTTAAGATTTTCTTCCATCTTCTGGTTAGAAACTCTGACAAGGAAATCAAGATATTGGTCAGTGATGAGGACAGTTCCCCTGTGGCTTACAGGAACCTCAAGACAATGTGTGCTGCGTACTGCCTATAAAAAAAAAAAAAATTTCAAAGACAAATACAAGTTATTTTAGACCCCAGAAGAGCACTGATGTATCTTTAATTTTGAACAAAAAGCACAATGTGTATCTTACCATGATGATCTTGCCTTTCTTTCCCACAGTTATACCAGAATTCCTAAAGCCGGAGTTTACTGCAACAGTATGCTAAGGAACAAACCATAAAAAGTAAGTAATTATTTGCTCCCCTTTAAACAACCTCCATGGTCAGTTTCATTTTAATTCAATGTGACAGTCACCAGTAGCTGTGCATCTTCAAGCTTTTTACACTGAACGTGAAGGACAAAAGGCTCAAACTTCAAAGAGGCATCTCCAACAGACTTCTCCAGACTTGTAAGCTGTTTCAGAAACACACGAAGCTTTAAATCACAGTTGATTATTTCTGTATATTTGTAAAATGTCTTCAATTTCTCACCACATCTTCACTATGGCACTTCTGATGGGTAACAAATAACCAGGAGCAGTTTCGCTTTTGCACTTGGCAGTCCCATGCCTTAGATAAGAACATGCCATTACATATCACAGTGACCAATACACATACAATACTAGTTACCATAACCTTAATGATCTTTTGATAAAGGCTTACAGTATATGCTATAAATGCTTATTTGTTTTGTTGATAAATAAATACAAAGTAAAGGCTACATTTTACACTGTGTTATTTCATAGTTAGATTGACTTCACTATTATTTTAAAATGTAATATTAAAGATTCAGTCAGTGTGTCCAAACCTTTAAAGGGATAGTTAACCAAAAAATGAAAATTCTGTCATCATTTACTCACAGTCAAGTTCCCAAGTATAATATTTTTCCTTCTGCTGAACACAAAAGACATTTTGAAGAATGTGTGTAATCAAAGTGGTTAATTATATATATATATATATATATATATATAATGGATATCAATGGGGGCCAGCAACTGATTCGTTACCCATATTATTCTTCAAAATATCTTCTTTAAATACGAGTGTCTTTTGAAAATCATACTGGTGACAAATTATAGACAAATAACTTCTCATTCTTACCCCGTCAAAAAGGATGATTCTTCCGGAGCAAGAGCTTGTCGTGAAATACTGATCGTGGCTGTTGATAAAGGCGACAATATGAGAAATATCGTCATCCACACTGCCCTTCTTACTGAAATCACACTTATTAAGACACTGATTCTTCCATGACTCAAACGTATCGCCGGCCATGTTTAAATACTACTAATGAATTATATTACTAGTTTTTGCCGAACTCTGGAATAATATCATTAAGTAAACAATCAGATTTTTAAATATTAGTTTGTTTGCTAGATTTGCTGTTCATAGGTTATCTCATGTTTGATGTTTCGAGAGCACGGGCGGGTACGGTGGCCGGGATGTGCCCAGATTCATTTCATACGGAAGTGAAGAACTGCAGGGAGCTGCGACCAGTCTGGCAGTTGAACAATGTATTGTATCCTATGTCGTGCTGTTTTCTTTAGAACGCGACGCTGTGTAACGTTTGTGCACTACATTTGCTATATGCTATAATAGGCTGTTGGAGAAAGCTCTAGTTAGATCATTTTGATTCAGATGTCCTAATTTATTGATTGTTATTTTTTCAACAGTGCAGAAACCAGTAAAACTTCAACCTACCTTTTCAATCCACTTGTTTTGCAGAGGCTACTATGGCCACATCTAAATTAATGAGAGCCATTAGGGTGTCAGAGTTTGGAGCCCCTTCCGTTTTAAAACTCTGCACAGACCTGCCTGTGCCAAATCCTGGTCAGAAACAGGTGGGTAAAAAAATCTTATCTTCCTCATTTACTGATTGTTTAAGTTATGAATTCAGTTTAGTTTTCTCCCGTGAAAGCTGATGCAAATTATTTATTAATCTTGACATTATTACTAATTATAACTAACTTCATTTTGAAGAATCAGTGCTGTCAAATGACATGACATAAAATTACATTCTTTTTTCAATTATTTAATAAATGTCTTATTTTGCTTTTTGCACAGATGACCAGATTGTAATTTTTAGACCTTGCAGTAATGCTTAACCCAGGAAAAAAAAAATAAAATAATAATAATATTTTCTGGCAGATTCATAATTAAAGGGATAGTTTACCCAAAAAAAGAAAACTGTGTCATCATTTACTTACAAGCTCTGCAATCAGCACTGCTGTAAAATCACATCATGTTTATTTATGTAGCACTTTATGCAAAAGACTGCTTTAAAGCAAGCAGCTTTACAGTATGAAACATGAAAAAACAGTGTCAATGTCAGCGTTATGTATATGAATATGTATAGAATATTCAATAGCTCAATATTTTACCGAATTGCAAAAGCTGAATAATCAATCAAAGCCTACTGATTAATCAGCAAATTAATCGATTAATAGTTCAAATAATGGTTAGCTTAATCGATTATCAAAATAATAGTATGTTGCAGCCCTTATTTGGAGTGTATTTTAAGACTAAAGAGTCAAGGGACATGTTTTTCTCCATGTTTAGAGAAGGACCCAGAGACCACCTTGTCTTTTTAGAAATAATATTTATGTACATCTACTGACTTAGTCACAGTATTAGTTTATTATTGATATATGTTGTTATATATACTACCAGTCAAAAGTTTTTGAACAGTAAGATTTTTAATGTTTTTAAATAATTCTCTTCTGCTCACCAAGCCTGCATTTATTTGATCCAAAATACAGCAGAAGCAAAATTATTGTGAAATATTTTTACTATTTAAAATAACTGATTTCTATTTGAATATATTTTAAAATGTAATTTATTCCTGTGATCAAAGCAAAATTTTCAGCACCATTACTCCATTGTTCCAGTGTTCAGTGTCACACGATCCTTCAGAAATCATTCTAATATGCTGATTTGCTGTTCAAGAAACATTTTTTATCATTTATAATATTTATATAAAACAGTTGAGTAAATTTTTTCAGGATTCTTTGATTAATAGAAAGATCCAAAGATCAGCATTTATCTAAAATAAAAAGCTTTTGTAACATTATACTATACCATTTAAAAGCTATATATATTAATATATATATATA